TGGCAGGTCAGCTGGTGGTTCACGCTGGTAGAAAGAGAGAAATAACTAGTTAGGCTTGTCAAAGACAATAGACAGAATAGATAATACACACACATGTAGTAAGAAGCCAAAATGAACCTACCCTAGGACTAGGAAAAGTAAAGTCCATAGATCCAATCTCCATCGGGCTGTAACAGCTGCAGGGGGATGAGCTGCTGGTCATCTGAAAAGATATTAACAGAGCAGAATCAGAACAGATTCAAGTCAATTATTTATTTATTTTTTCTGACAACATGTTGGCATCGCACAACATTGTTAAGATAACTACTTGTGTGAAAAGGTGCATAAAGTGCGTACCTGGTCAGGTGAAGGAGGAGGAGTGCTCATCATCCTGGACATGTCAGAACGCGGAGGGGTCTGAAACCTGGGAATCTAGAGGGGATGGATTAATGAGTAAAAATCCCAGAAAAACTAACTGGGACAGATGTGATAACAGGTTTAAGCCCCAATGTGAACATGTGAGTAAAGGATGAAAGTACCTTCTGTGCTGGTGAAACTGTGGGAGTGGAGGCTTCCAGGTCTATCCTGAAGGGTCTTGGTGGTGTAGAAACCTGCACGAGGACCAATGTCATGAACAGGAAGTGTGAAAGAGAAAAGCGAACTGCAAACATGTCGTGAAAGGAAAAATACCTTTCCTGCCACTATTTGGGCCCAGGAGGGAGCTTCTTCCACCGGGGATGCAGGCATCGCTGTCGTGGCAGGTGGAGCTGCCGTCGTCGCTGGGGGAGCCGCCTGGTGAGACGAAGAAGAAGGAGTTAGAGTACTTACCTGATCAGGGGATGGCTCAGAGCTGTCAGGTCTGGCCTGCCGTCCCCTGGTACGTCGAGCCCGACGTTCAGCTCTCTGCAATGACAGAAGTGTGTAAAATATGCAGAATGTGACGAACAGAGTGTGAATAACATGAAACAGCAACATTAGAGAATAAACTGTCTTGTGGATAATCTATTAGTTAAATAGATGAAGTGGAACATGTTTCTCATGAAGTATCAGCACCAACCTTCTCCTTGGGCGCTCCTTCCATCACAGCAGCAGGAACAGCTGGTGTCGGTGACATCTGGAAAAAAATAATCCACTCACATTAAACCACGAACATTTTACAGTAACTTTTGACCAAAGTGAGGCTTAAATGGACTAAAGGCATTACAGACCTGTGGTTGGGCACGCCTCCTCTTCAGAGCAGCAGGTCTTCTCCCATGTTCCACAGGCGATGCCTGATGGAGGAAAACACACGTTATGTCAGATTAGTTTAGGAAAACCCAACTATGGATCCATCCCACATCCTCCCAACAATATCATTAGTCTGATGGACTTTATGCTGGACTCACCCGATCACCTGCAGGAACACGAGCACCGAGGGCAGAGGGAACCAGCTTCTCCATGGCCGTCAGGATTTCAGGAGAGAACATCTGAGGATTCAGGGGCAGGAAGGACTCCCCTGCGGCCACAGCACCTGCCTCCATCTGTCATAAGATACACAGAGATTAGACAGAGCTACATAAAATAATACTCAGTAACTGTTGTCAAACCATCCTCTTCTCTGGATGAAGAAAAGACAGCTAAGCTTCCCCTGAGAGGCCACACTGAAATACCACAGTGCACAAAAAGGCTCATTTCAATGACACATTCACTCACGTGCTTCAGGTTAGTTCTTACCTTGGCAGCAGGTCCCACCACAGTCCACTCCGCAGGAGGAGGACGTGGCGCAGGGACCTCACCTCTCACCACAACACGCGGACGGATCCTGGGTGAAGCGGACGAGGGGACCCTGCGAGGCTCCTGGGGCCGGGCTGCTGGGGGCTCCATGGCTTCGTAGGTGGCCTTCCACAGCAACTGCACAAGGATGGGCATCCCTGCGTCGTCGCTGAGATGGACCTGCAGACAGAGAGCAGAGATTTCAAACTGTTGTTCACCTCCCACCTGTCCCTGTACAGCATTAAAAGTGTGGAAATGCTGTGCTTACACCATCGAAGGCCCACAGCTCTGGACGGTTGAGAGGGAACTCATCCGCAAAGTGGCAGTATTTAAGGCCTGGAGACATAAAGCACAGCTCAGTTCAGTCTGGACTGTTTTGAGTACTTATGACTGAATTTAAATCCAGATGGATTTCTTTAACTCACCACAGCTGGCCGCCACCCGGTGCAGCTCCTGGCGGTAGAGCGTCTGGTAGCCCTCATCAACCGTCAGCCGTGGGACAAAGTCAGCAACGAAGACCTGTAATGATGGAAGTCAGTCATCAGAAACTACACGGACCTTAAAGGGCCCACGTCAGAAACCTGGAGGAGGCGCTCACCTTAGGCCAGCGGGTGCAGACGGCGGCCAGCAGACGGCCAAAAGCAGCGCCCGCCTCCTCCACAGTCCGGCTGGCCGTCAGGTTGTTGCTGGGAGCCAGGACACACACGGCGTCAGGGGTCCGGGGAACGGCAGCGTGCACGACCTCCTTCCTCAGCTGGTTGGCACACGACCCCGGGGTGGACATCACGCCAAAGGAGAAGCGGCCCTCCGGCATGG